GGATTCTACTGAGAAATTTTAACAGGATTCTTCATAGAAACCTTAGCAGGATCCTGAGAAACTTTTACAAGATCCTGATAAATATTTACAGAATCTTGCAAAACTAAGTCTAGATCCTTGTATAAATCTTCTCCCTGTGTGCCCTTACGGGCTCTGTAGGAAACAGTATGGTTGTTGGGCAGTTTGAACAGATGACTCTAGCTGACCTCCTTGTCCTGCTCAGTCTCTCCAGACCCCAAGCCGGAGTTGAAGTCTCTGAAGTGGGCCATCGCTCAGTTCGCCTCAGTGGAGCGCATCGTCGGAGAGGACAAGTACTTCTGTGAGACGTGCCATCATTACGCTGAAGCTGAACGAAGCYTGCTGTTTGACAAAACTCCTGAAGTYATCACCATTCACCTGAAGCGCTTCTCTGCCAGCAGCTTAGAGTGAGTTCATCAGATTTCTTAAATTCACACGATTCCACTACAYTGGTTTTTTTCTTCTTAAACTGGCGAAGCTGCTCTAGTGTTAAACATGTTACAAGAAAAAAAATCTAATYTCMCTMMTMMTYYYTTGTTTTTCTTAGGTTGGACCCGTATGCAGGTCTCTGTAAAGTGAACACCCCCTTACAGACCCCTCTGACCTTGTCCTTGGAGGAGTGGTGCACAAAACCATCGTCGGATGAAGGCCAGCGGTATCAGCTGTTTGCTGTGGTCATGCACAGCGGCATCACCATAAGCAGCGGCCACTACACCACCTACGTCCGCATGTCTGACCTGAAAGACGTGAAGCTCTGGCCGGAGGACAAAAAAGAACCTCAAGCCGACACATGTCAGAGAGAAAGTAAAGAGGGAACGCAGAAAGACACAAGTCAGGACTACGACGACGGAGAAGTGTTTTTCAGCCTGAATGCAAGAGGACAAAGGCGTGCAAGTTTGGCTAACGCTAAATCGGGAAGCAAAAAGCTCTCCGAGGGTGGMGTCGGACTCCTGGGAGGACAGAGGAGCACGTCCAGTTGCAAGATGGCAAACAGCAACAGCAAACAAGCCGAAACCACAATTAATCTGGTATTACACGACTTTACAATAACTCAGTAAATGTTATTTTTAAATGTATCATTTTAAGTGGTTTTTAAACTAATTTGTCCTCATAGTTGATTTGTTACAAGCCATAACTTTGTACTATATATAGCCTAAACAAATACCTGGGATTTTCAAAGGTTTTGGTATTTTAGCTGAAGATGTTAGCAGCTCAGTTAAACTGTACCTCATGTCGTCTGTAATTTGAGCTGACTGAAAATCGTGAGCAATAAAGTTTTTACCTTCATGTTTCCTGAGTTTAACTTGCAAAACCAATTTCAATCAAGTTGCAACATATATCATGTAAATAAAAACAGAATACGATGATTTGCAAAATATTTTCAACCTATAATTGAAAACACTACAAAGACAAGATATTTCATGTTCAAATAAACTTTTTTTTCTCAAATATTCACTCATTTTGAATTTGATGCCTGCAACGTTCCAAAAGAAAATCTGGAACAGGAGCAACAAAAGACTGGGAAAGTTGAGGAATGCTCCAAAAAAAAAAAAAAAAAAAAAAAAAACACATTTGTAGCATTCCACTGGTTCATTGGAAACAGGTGAGAGTCATGACTGGGTATACAGGGAGCATCCATGAAAAGCTCAGTCGTTCACGAGCATGGATGGGACAAGCTTCACTGTGTGAACAAACAGTTTAAGAAAGTTTCCCACAAAATTTAGGGATTTCATCATCKACAGTCAGACTCCGCAAATCTGGACAAATCTCTGCAAGCAGCAAGGTCGAAAACCAACACTGAACGCCTGTGACCTTTGACCTCTCAGRCAGCACTGCACTAAAAACCAACATCGTTCTTTAACAGATGTTAGCACATGGCTTAAGCAACACTTCAGAAAACCATCGYCAGTGAACACGGTTCGTCTCTACTTCAAGTTAAAGCTCTATCATGCAAAAGCAAATAACATCCCTCGGAAACACAGCTGGCCTCTTTGGACCCGAGCTCTTCTGAGATGGACTGACACAAAGAAGTGTCCTGTGGTCTGACGAGTCCACATTTCAAACTTGTTTGGAAATCATCGGCGTGGTGTCCTCCAGGCCAAAGAGAACAACTGTCAGGATTRTTATCGGCACAAAGTTCAAAAGCTAGCCTCTCTGATGGTATGGGGGTTTATTAGTGCCCATGGCATGGGGTAACTGTCACATCTGTGAAGGCACCATTAATGCTGAAAGCTACATCCAGGTTTTGGAGCAACATATGCTGCCATCCAAAGCCACGACTTTTCAGGGACATTCTGCTGATTTCAGCAAGACAATGAAGACACATTTTGCATGTGTTCCAACAGAGTGGCTTCTCTATAAGAGTGCTGGTACTAGACTGGTCCTTCTTCAGTCCAGACCTATTGAAAATGTGTGGAGCATTGTGAARCACAAAATACAACAAGGAAGACCTCGGATTGTTGAGCAACTGAAGTTGTTCATCAAGCAAGAATGGGAAAGAATTCAACAGTGTCCTCAGTTCACAAAAACTTATTGAGTGTTAAAAGGAAAGCTGATGGAACACAGTGATAAACATGACCCTGTCTCAGCTTTATATGAACGTGTTGCAGACATCAAAATTCAAAATGAGTGAATATTTGCAAAGAAATAAAGTTTGAACATTAAATATCTGGTCTTTGTAGTGTATTCAGTGTATTATAGGTTTAAAACATTTTTTAATAATTTTTTGTTTTGGTTTGAATTAGTGAGAATTCTACATACAGACATCAGAAAAGAAAAAAAAAACACACCATTTGAACATTTAAATATTTATTTAGTAAAATATTTAAAGTAAAACAAAACTACATAAAATTATACAAGGATGTTTAAAGTACCTAAATTTAAAATATCGTCGCTTCAACATAAAATAACAATAAAGCATCATGATAAATACTGGTACCAGACTTTTGTACCCCCCCACACACAAAATACATAAACTTTCAAGTTGTAAAACGCATTGCTACACTATAAAAAAAAGTGCACACATGAAATCGAATACATTTTTTTTGTTGTTCTTGTTGACAAATTGTACATGATTAAATAGAAATACCTTTTCTGTCGGTCACTTGTAAAAATTTTGGCTGAAAAAAAGAGAGTTTTGGCACTTATACTCGACCTCTGAACATTCATTATATTTATTGGTTTCAAAGCTTGCAGCTAGAATGTTCTGTTGGTATATTAAGAGTCGTTTGTTTGTTTACTTTTAAGGTAGCTGCGGGACAAACAACCACACAGTAACAAGCAAAGAACACGTAAATGCCAAGGTTTCTAATCTTTCAGAGCCATTTGTTCTTTTTCGCTGATTGTGTCACAGTTTGTAAACAAATTAAGACACTGGAATGACGTACCAAGCTGCAAATCGTAACCTTTTTCCTTTTTTTACAAAACGTTTCAAAACACCAACTTTCAAGGGTCACTCCTATATACATAAGAATAAATTCCGCCTGTGTGGGTGACTGTGTGTGTGTG